TGACAAGGCTAGGGTTTACATGTATCTGAGTCGGTTACGATCCAGCCTAATCCGTGGAATTACGCTAGATCTTCGGGGTGTACTTGTCTTGCATGTGTAGTTGATGTGCCCTGGTATACGCGGTAGGCTTCCAAGTCTTGGGCTTGGGCTGCCCCATGGTGGCTGAGCCGACTCTTCCTTCCATTGCTATACCCTGGGGGCATAACATCGTCCATAGCCCTTGAGTCTTTCAAGGTCTGGCTGCTGATCTTGACTCTTACCTCCTTCTGGATAGAAGGTTCCGAGTAGAAACCAAACAGAGCGTGCCGTCTTATCATCTTGCAGAGAGGCCTTGATGGACTCATGAAGTTCCCGAGTCCTGTGCTATTCACCCAAAGGGCAGGAATATCAAGGAGGATGAGCTAATAACGGGTTAATCTTGGTGATATGTTCTCCGTCGAGGAGAGCGGCTAGTGTCCCGGCAGGGGGCATATCATGAATTCTGACTGAAATCAAGGTAGTATATGGTCTCATCTGATCCTTTGGGGCCAGCCTGTGTCCCATGGGGGAATACCCTTAACTTTCAGGTCCAGAACTGAGTCCTAGACTTCAGTGTTTGGCTGGCTCTGATTGAAATCAGAGTCCCAGCCGCGTGGGACGCTGAGTCCGCCCTTCGCTCGAGTGTAGTAGAGCTGTCTGCCTTTGGACGAACATAGCAGGTATGCTTCACCTGGTTTGGACGCCTCCTGGTAAAGCCGATGCAAAACATGCGAAGTATGATGCAATCCGACTCTTCTGACTGGTCCCGATGTCGTGACGTGTCTGCTGACAGAATCTGACTCCTTCATGGTCCGGGACCGCATAAGGAGCACTTGCTTTGGTCTGGCCCGGTCAAAAGCCGGCTTGTAGGAGCGGGAAGCGTCACGGGTCTTGGTGAGGTCACGTTTATCGTCAACATATTGTCCCATTGACATTGACCAAGATTATAGAATAAAATATCTACATCTGCAATACTTATAATAGATAAAAAATGAAAATACTTTTCATGATGAATTAATAATACAAATTTGGTATTGTAGATATTAATATATTTTTCTAGAAACTTGGTCGAACATGCACATGATTGACGTTTGAAAAAACTGATACACCTTATATTTTGGAACGGAGGGGGTATGTCATTTAAAATATTATAAATATTAGGCAAAAATACATCTTAGACTTCATAATTTGGACCTTTGTAGAAATCTGTAATTAATTCTTGCGCTAGAATCAAGGAGATGGGGCGTGAAAGGAGGGGTAGTTTGGGAAGACTGGGCTGTGAGAATCCCACCCTGCGCCTTAGTAACGAGAAAAACTGAGAAAAAATATATGCCTAAATCATCGGAACAGAGAGAGTAAATCTAGACCTTTATAATCTGGGCTCACCACATAATCTGACAGATCATATTTTTTAGTCTATGTGGAAGAACATGGTGTGGCTCGTTTGCCTCTTGTTTTAATAACAGAATTGATTAGTTAACAGCCATAAGGCAATATATGATAGAAAGACTTATTTACTTTTCAGTTTTGTGTTATGCTTCAAAGATTACTACAGAAATGTCATTATCTTTTGAATTGCAAAATATATGTCACTGAATTTGATATCAGTGTCATATTTTTTAAGATTTAATAGTCTTGACTTCTCTATTGCGTGGTCTGAAATCCTGGCTCTGCCCCTGCTAGCTTCTTCCTTTCCTAAACATCATCATCTTCATACCATCACACACAGTTGTTACCTCTGCCTTTTCACCCTTAACTGCCTTCGATTACTGAAGATTAAATAATCCCCCATAGTATATACCGCCCTTAACCCATTAGGATCTTTAGAACAGCTGCTGTTCTCCCCCTGTCTGCGACAGTACACTGTTTTAAACAGTGCACTTATTTAATACTATCCCTGTAACTAAATATAAGACGTTTTTGCAGTTCACTAAATACATGTTCTTATATTTAGCTACAGAGGTGTTGTTTATACAGAATTATGTTGTTACAGAAGGCCTAATTCTTTTTCTGTCCACTGTCCAGCCTCGATGACACTGTCCGAGTCTTTTGTGGGGATGACTTTGATAGGTCACACATTATCAAGCATAATAACCAGACAGGCAGATGGATTTCTACATTCAAGTATGATATCTCCTTTTACCTAGTGGCTAGCTTCATGACCTTGCATGAATATCTCTTCACAAACTAATTCGATTGTTGCAGGGCAATCTGGGGCTGGAACGACACCGACCTGTTTATTGGAAACATGAGAAGGGCAATAGATATTATCTCAGTTGGTGGTGATGACAGTAGCCTCTCAGCTTCGAACAGCGCAAGCCTGGAGAGTGAACACATGACGGCCATTCCATGCAGGTTTTCCGCACACCCATATAAAGTTGGGCATCTTGCTTGCGCAAGCTCCGGTGGGAAGGTGTTCTTTTGGACCAGAGCTTGAATCAACAAGATCTCCGGTGGCTGACTTGCGAATTGTTACCGGTTCTGTTAGAGTGTTAGTTAGTCATGCTAGGAACCTAGTGCTTGTTTAGTATCCTGCTTAAGATTAGCATAGTGTACCATTTTTCCTTCTAATGTTTTAGTGGTGGAGCACTTGAATGCTGTCAGAGAAACCCTGGGCAGCTGGGAACCGGTTTTCACTGCCAGAGTGTTTTCAAGCTCGTATCCTTACATTGTTTCCTGCCAGTTCCTGATGCAAATCCTATCTAGTTAGCGTGAACATTAAATTGATGCCGTTTTGGTTGTCAAGTCCAGATGCGCTTTGTTCTGAAGCACCGTTACCATGGGGATGCGTGTTCGTGCATGTATATTAGGCTGTAGAACAGTGCCTGTATGACACTGGCTGGAACGAATAACTTCTGAGGGCTTCAATCCTGTTTGGACATGTCATGCATACTATGGATCGCAACCAAGGAAGGCCTTTCCAAGAGGGCATCCCCTTGTTTCTGCATGCATACTTGGACAAAAAAAAAACCCAATACAAGGGCATCTCCCAGCTGTCCAAATTCTGTCCATTTGTCAACCCATCCTACGATTTCTCCCGAAATTTGGGGCAAAATTAGGGGAGCCTAACCCCCCCCCCCCCTGCCCGCCGCCTATATGTCCGGCTTGTATGTGGGGTGGATTTGGGGATGCTCGGACATTTCCGAGCATGTTTGACCTCATAGGCCGAACCCACCCATATCCCCTTCAAATCGTCCCCAATGCTCGCCCGATCTAACCTCTTCCTCGTCCACGCCACCCATTGCCTACATCTCCCGCCATCCCCGCCCTAGATCCGTTGGTGTCCCCGATCCGAAGCATCGCCACCACGGTCCTCAAAAACCCATTTGGACAACTGATTCTTTTGCTCATTTGTAGACAAACGGTGGATTTGTCGGATAGACGAAGCTGCTGAGGTGATGGTGGTGATGAGCAGCTGGGACGAGATGTAAAAGAAACGAGGAGCATGTTCTTAATTTTAAGGGTTTAATAAAAGGGCATGATAGTTGTTGCCCGAGATATGATAAGTGGTACAAAGAGTACCTACATCGAGTACTTCAAACCCGACCAAGTATTCCATGAGGTTTTTTGGGCGTCGCTTCTGGATTGTCTTGTGCATAGTGGATGTTGTGAAGAAATATGATCCCTATTTCACGCCGAGGAAGGATTGTTGGGGACAACTATTACTCTCTCATTTGCAGAAATGCACAGGTGTTTTGAGAATGCTTGCATATCGTAAGGTGCCGCTGATGAGTACGCCTATATGGGGGAGAACCTATCTTGCAATAGGCTGCAAAGCCTAGTAGGCAATTGAATAGATTTCAGGCGTTCTTGTTTCAAAAAAAAAAAAGAATTCCGGCATTTTGAAGATTAAAAAAACAGAGGTTGTATACATTTACTCCAAGTAGCACTCAACAATTTTTGACACTACATTTTGGGACGGAGGGAGTAATTCATAATAGCAGTTACATGGATGCAACACAGAAACTGAACGTAGCTCTTCATCACATGGCCACTATCAGAATCGTCCCAGAAGATTGTTGTTGCGATCAGCGTAGTCACTTAACCACTATTGTCCATGGATGAAAACAGCTGTAGCCTGGACAGAAACTCTGGAGACACACGGGTAGGGCGGTAGTCCTTGTTAAGACAAACAGCTGTCGCCTTTGCTTCCACAATCAACTGACAGGAGAAATAAGATATGCAAAGTCCGGATATATCAATCTCGAAAATCTTTCATCATGATGTATGAAGATTTTGCTGTTTAGAATGGTGGCACAGAAATGCGTAGGAATAATTTATGCATGAAACAGAATACAAATTGCACAAGTTGTACATATTTGACACAATGCCTTCCAGAATGCTACTGAATGTCGTTGCTGCCCTATTTCAACTGTAAACATGCTTTCAACATACATTGTATCTTCTTGTTCTGTTCTGAATTTATAATAACTCTTTGGTATGCGTACCTCGTGGTTGGGCAGCTTCTCAATGCAGTGCTCGAATATCATCCTTATACCTTTGATGCTTGCAAGCCTCACCTTGACGACAAATTTATCACCACTCTGACAGCGCAAGAAAATACAAAATGGAATTCAGATCTGAAGATAACCCATGACAGTATATGTTGAAGTCTGAACTTGTAATGTTACTTGTTTCAGTACTGCAACAAGTATCTTAACTTCTATTTTTCGCTCAGCATAGGAAAGGAGGGCATTACTCTCAAAGGCGCGAAGTACTTGAGGTGCATCTCAGAGAGGGCCAGTGACTCACCGCTGCGAGCTACTGCATCTGCACTTATTCCTACGCTCTCAAGTAGCTCATGACGGCCTACTCAAATTGAAGGCATAGAACCCAATGAGATATCAATATAAACTACAATCATGCTTACGATATAAGTAGAATGTTATTGAATGAGATATGAATTTATATAAATTTCATTTTTGGATGAAGTACGAGTTCTTAAGATGGCATCTGAATCATGTTCACTGACCAAGTGTGCAACAATGAGAGATTCAACTGGGATTTGGTGTGAACTCACCATGTTGGCAGTAGCTAGCATAGATAGCATTATTGACAACTCCGTACTGGTCGAGTTCATAGTCGCGCACCTTCATCTCAACTTCGAAAAACTTATCCACTCTGAAAAATCAGAATGACCAGTGACAATGTGACACACTCAAATCCATGTGCATTCCAAACTTAACTGAATGAACGGAGCATAGTTTTCACTTTTCAGTATATCATCCAAAGATACTACCAAACTGTGTGGTTCATTAGTAAAACCACTGACACCTCTTTCCTGCTTTCAACAAACCACTGATGTCTGAAGCTACTTGACAGGCATAGTTTGTAGCTAAAGATGGCAAAGATGGAAGCACCGTAAACATGTACCACATGCTCAGCAGAAATTGGTTAAATCCCCATTCCAGTTTGCATCCGACTCGCCACGGAGCACGGGCGATAACTTCGATGCTCTCCTACACGAAATTCAGCAAAGAACGAACCTCAAACCGGCGTCGAGGCTGGCCGACTGGGCGGAGACGGCGAGGGGGCGGCATAGGCCTCGGGTGGAGGTGGAGGCGGAGGCGAGCGCCGGCCTGCGGAGCGGCGCGGGGCGACCGGCCGGCCAGCCGCCCCTTCCCGCCCCGGCGCGGATCGGCGGGAGCGGCGAGCAGGCGTAGGGGACGAGGCGCCAAATCTGGCCGTACATCGTGGCGGAGTCCGTCTGGCGAGTGGGCAGGTGCGGCGCGGATGGGGACGGGTACTTGGCCTGGCCTGGCCGCCCGACCCGTATTAATTCCGCCAGCCGTCAATTCCACCCCTCCCTCGGTCTCGTCCCCGCCCCCTCTCCCGCCGCGAAAACCGAACGCGCCATTCCAAATCCCCAAACCCCCCAACCGCCCCGCCCCCCTCGACCCATCGCCGCCCCC